TATTTTTTTTTTTTTTTTTTTTAAGTAAAAATTTTGCTATAATATTTTTTTTTTTCTTGAATTAAAGCAGAAATGGTTTCACTTAATTTATAAAAAGGGAAATAAAAATAATAAATTGTTACATGTATATGTAAAAATATAAAAAAATGTTAAAAAAAAATTTTTTTAAGGAAATATATAAATTTGATTAACAATTTAATTATTAATTATTTTATGTAATAAAAATTATATGAGCATACAATTTTAATGCAGTGATTGATCACTTTTTTGACTTATTTTTATAATATATTTATTTTTTTTAGTTATTTTATAATATAAATGCTACATTTAAATAATAAATGTAACACATAAACAATTTATGTTAATGCATGATATAATTAGTTTTTACAAAAGACTTAGAAAAAGTATTATTATATTTATAAAAAAAAAAAAAAAAATGAAATTGAATTTTGAAGAGAAAAAAGCATTTTTAGATAATTTAAAAAATCGAATGCTGAAAATAGAAAAAGTTATAGGTGATATAAAATTTTACGAAAATAATAGTAAAGAAAAAACATCAGAAGAAAACAAAGATTGTTATTTGAATGAATCAAATATTATTATTGACGATAAAGATAATGAAATAAAAAGTGAAGAAAATAAGAATATTTTTAATGAATTAAAATCATATTTAGAAAATATACCTTTTGGTTTGTTAATTTGTCATCAATTAAAATGAAATATATATATATATACATAATTTAGGCTTATTAATTTTTTTAATATCATATTTTTTTTTTTTTTTTTAAGATAACTTTAATGCTAATAAAGAGGAGTTAATAGAAATGATAAAAAAGCATAAGCACAAAAATAGTATTTCAGTACATTTGTGTGCCATCAAAATAATATTACAACAAATATCGAAAGATTTTTTGTGTGATATATATAACCATTGTAATTATATATATACATAATTAAATAAATTATATAACAAAATATTATAATAATAAAATAAAAATAAAAAATATAATTTGCTAAAAAGAAAAAATATATATGTATTTCATGAAATGAACAATTGAAAAAAACAAAAATCTTGAAAAAAAAATAATATTAATTATTATAATATCTTTAATATATATATATATAATTATTTTTAATTTTCATTTTTTATTTTTTGCTTTTTAGATAATGACTTTTATATTTATATTCACAGTAATAGCATTGTAGATGTATATAATACATTTGAATATAAAAAAAATATAATTTTGTCACATTTAGATTTTATGAGGAATTATAGTTCTAAAATTAAAGAGATTGTCAAATTAAAAGAAAATATAAACAGCTATAAAATATCAGGTTAAATAATAAATAAAAAATTATTAGAAATTATTTAATTTTCTAAAATTATTCTAACAAAGGAATCGTAATACTTAAAAATTTTAATAATATTTATTTATTCTATTTTATAAATATATATAGAGACAGAAATATATATGGATAGATTGAAAAAAATTGAAAATAAAAATGAACTTTTATTTTCAAAAATATCAGAAATTAACACTTCTTTAGAAGACGTAGCATATAAATATGGAGTAATGGTAAGCTAAAAATAAAATAAAAATTATATTAAAATTTCCTAATTTCTTATCATTTTTTTTTTATACATATATAGATGCAGTTAGCCTCTCTAATATTTTTAAAATATAAATCGAATATATCCTAAATTAGAAACAAAAAAAAAAAAAAAAAAAAAAAAAAAAAAA